TTTTCATATCTGTCCAAAGTCTTTTTTAGTCGCCTGTTTCTTGTCGTCACTTATCGAAATAACATTTTCGCTTGAATTTTTCTCTTGGCCGGTGGTCTGTGTTTTGATAATAAGATGCCTTTCGTACCAATAGTTTGTTTTCATATCCTTAGATAACACTACCCACTCAATCTCATTGTCATTGTAATGACACTCTTTTCGCCATTTGCCACTTATCCAAAATAACCCTTTTTTTTTTATTGCCTCTTAAGCCGTGTGTGTGTGTTCGCTTTCGCCTATGATCCGTCTCGCATTTTTTTTTTCCTTTCTTTTTTCTTTCCTTTTTTTTTTGCCTTTCTTTCAAATGCCTGGATGCATGGTGGTTCAACAGTATAAAAAAAAAAAAAAAGAAATATTCTTAAAACCTAAAAATACATTTTGCCTCATTAAGTTGAGACAAATGGTTGATAAACCGTAAAAAAAAGCAAATCATATATCTATAAATATATCTTTCAAATCGTTTGGATGCATGTTGCAAAAAATATGAGCTTTTTAAACTGAACGGATTATAATCGAATAATTTTAAAACAACTCTTCAAAAAAATAAATAGACCAGAAAAAAACAATTTTTTAGGTTCGAATATTAAATACAATGAAAAACAAGGAACCAATATATTTCGGCTCAAAATAGTCCAAGAAACTCGATACAACTGCAAAGGATGTGAATTTTCTTGATAGAATATCCGAAGTCGTTCGGAAAGCCCAAAGAAACAATTTTTGCATGGAACGATTAAAAATAATATTTTGGGAAATGAATTATAAATAAGAAAATGAAAACCTATTTGGCATTGAAGCGTCTTCATCGAAAAAGAATTCCGCACATGAAAGGATATGAAGAAAAAAAAAAGAAAAACATTTTTTGGGTCCTGTCAAAAATTATAAATGGAACGAAAATATTTAGAAACACTTGAATTGGACAATATCCCAAGAAAACAAAAATAAATGGTAATTATGAAACTAGAAATGCATAAATTAAGGTGAGTAAAAATTTACAAATTCTGTTAAATGAAATTAGGGCATTTTTAAATTTATACATGACATGAAATTGACATCCATTAAACATGGCATTGGAACTTTTAAATCGTTAGCGAAATTATAGTTCGAATTCCAATTTACCAAAAAGAAGGCTGGAGCGTACAACGACCGAAACGTAATAAATGACGACAAAGATGAGGACAAAAGGAATAATGTTAAATAATACATAATATATTCAGAAATATAAAACATATAATGAAAATAAACGTTGTGATAAATATGGCGACAAAGATTAGGATTAATAAATAAATAAACGGGAATGTAGCCATTAATATTTTCGATAGACATTTAAATATAGAAAATACTTATGATGTCACCTGAGTAAATTAATGTCTGAACAAGGTTTATGAAAGTTTCAGGATTGTACAAAGAAGGATATAACCTATTTTCCATAATCTGGCCCATGGGCGTTTTAAAAAAAATTTTGTTTGTAGCCAAATATATTAAAACCAGTTGATTTTGTGAATGAGACTCTGTAAGGAATATTTTTCCAAAATCTTTCTACATCGCAGAGTGCCTTGTAGAATTCAACCGGTCACTGGCAATCTTAGGATCTAACTTAAGTTGAGACTTTGGAATCCATCCACGTGCCGAGTATATTAGCTGAAGAATAGTCCATTAAAATGTTCATGGTAAGAAACAATAGGTCACCATGATCAAAATAAAGTTATATATTTAAATATCTTATATATATATATATATATATCGAATATTAAGCAAATAAATTGATATTTAAAACAAAAAAAAATCTGAGTCATGTTATTTAAACATATTAATTATTTTTTTTGTTTTTTCAACGTATATTTTTTTTAATAATTATATATATATGTGTGTGGTACAATTGTGTGTGTGTGTGATATGTTTGTCTGTGTAGTGTGTGCCATGTAATTATGTATGTATGGAACAGATGTTACGGAAAAAAGTAAAAAATATATATTGAGAACAACAAATTTGGGGGAAAAATTTGCAGAATTATTAAAATTTATACTAAATAAAGCAATATATAAGATAAAAAAAAATAATAATGAGAATATATTTCCGGAAGTAATTAAATATGAAGATTGAAAAGCCAAGGGTTTATTAATAAATATATATAAAAATATAAAATTTATAAGAAAATAGTCCTCCCGTTTTCATAAATGTTTTTCTTTATAGTGTTTTCAAAATATATAATGAAAGGATAAAAACTTAAATGCGAGAAGATAAATTAAATTAATAAAAATTTATAAATATATAGAAATATATTATAATAATATATATATATATATTTCGTTATATGCATGGAAAAATTATATATTTTAAATACAAAAAAAATTTAAATAATATATATATATATATATATATAAATATATATATATATATCTAAATTTTTTTGAATTCCAATGGGATAAATGTCATTGATCTATTGGACAACAAAATATTAAACAAAATTTAAATTATATATATTTTCTAGAAAATTTACCATGATTTAAAACAAAATTCAGTGTCGGAAATAAATAGTTATTCAGTTAATAATGCAATATTTAAACTCTTACATCGAGAAAATCAGAGTAAAGCCTACAAATATGTAAATGGTTTGCCAGTTGTGTTATCTCTTTTAACTATAAACGACCAGAAGGCCAAACAAAAAAAAGAAAAATTTGTCTCCAGAAATGAATATTGAGGGTCTTGTTCATGATCATATGTTTCTTGGATATTTTGAACAAGAAATCATAAACGAAAATTATTCGCTAAATAAAAGGAACTTATCCTTGTCGACTAAAAGCAGCATTCGACTAATGGATAGCAGCGAATTTCGAAGAGACAATAATGCTATAATCAAGTTGTTGAATTATTCCAAATTACTTTTCAAACAAATCAGTTAAAAGAAAATTTCATTAATTTTGAAAGAGCTCATCCAACTCTGGACTTGAAAAACCTATTTTCCTGAAAAGTTATTTTAAAAACTAAACATTATGCATTTTCAACCGATGACATTATTGGCTGCTCAAACAAAACCAAATATACTTTTTAAAAAAACACTAATATCAAAAATTAGCATAATGGATGACTCTCAGAACATGAGGCTACTATTTTATCCCAATGATTTTAGAATCAAAAGAAAGCGTAACTAGTGTAGCTCTAACTTTTCTCTCAAAAGGCTGAAAATATTTTGAATGAATAAAGGTTGAAATCATAAATAGTATTACTAAACAGGGAAAAAGTAAAATCTTTAAGAAATTTGAGAACATTTTTAATGTAAAACCAAATGTTATCAAAGATTTTCAAAGTGGACATTAGATGGTAAACGTAATGAATGTCGAATTTTCTTTATTTTATTTTACGGTATATCAACCTCAATGGGTTGTTTAATGAGAACAAACTTTTTTTTTATTTTGATAATATTTTGTTTTGTCAAAAATGCAAAAAGCGTAAAAATTATTCTTCAAAATTGTCGGTCAATGAATAATTTTTTTATATAAAACGTTTCTAATATTGGTATCTGTTAATATGAGATAAGGAGAACAGATACTATGCTTTGATCTCAACCTGATGTCGAGCGAGTGAAGAAACATAACTAGCAATGAATGCCGAATGTTTGCTTGTAGGGCTGTGATTAATATTTTAAAGGTTTTAGTTAACATCGCATTTTTAAAAACAAATGAAATTCAAATTTCGTCCGGTGGGTTTATAGAAAATACAGATGAAATTAGTTTGGTTTGGTGGTTGGAAGACAGAGGTGATACCTTTGAGAATTGAACCCACAATGCTATTTGATCGATTCAAAGTTCGAGTTGAAAAGCAGCTCTTGTAAGGCAAATAATGACAGAAATATATAATTACGTATTGGACGAGTCTCTTTAAATCCAAACTTATGAAAGGCGATAAACAAATATATAGAAAACATACATTATATATATATATATATATATATATATATATATATATATATATATATATATATTATATATAATATATAAATTCAATAGATATATATATTATCTCTATATATATCAATAAATATAAATGATCTGTCAAATTGTTTATATATGCATTGGTCTATTAGATAGTTATGTATGATTGTACATATATAAGAAAATAAGAGAAATATGAATAAGTGCATGTATATATATATGTATTATATGTGTGTGTGTGTGTATGTATGTGTGTCCGTACCAATTCGATGATATCTAGCCCTGCGCATTATCTATCTATCTATCTATCTATCTATCTATCTATCTATCTATCTATCTATCTATATAAACAATAGTTTGTTCATATCTGTATCTGTTCATTACCAATTTATATTTATATTTTGATCATATTTATCTATCTATCTCTATCTATCTATCTGTGGATATTGTCTTTAGTCATATCTATCTATCTATCTATCATTATCATTCTATCATCTATCTATCTATCTTTCTATCTATCTGCTTTTCTTTCATATATCTATCAATCCATTAATCTATCATATCTTCTTCAGTATCTATCTATCTATCTATCTATCTATCTATCTATCTATCTATCTATATATATATATATATATATATATTTATATATATAATATAGTTTGTTCATATCTGTTTCAGTTCATTCATATCTATCTATTTATATTTTTTATCATATCTATTTCTATCTATATATTTATCTATCTATATCTATCTATCTATCTAAATATTCTATTCTATTTCATTATCTATCTATCTATCTATTTTCTATGATCTATTCTATTTTTATCTATTCGTTTATTCTCTATTTTTATTTTTTTCTATGCCGTCCCGTCTGGCCAATATAAATATCTTACGGTTCATATATCTTGCGTAACGTCAGTACATATGTTTATAGGCCTGCTATTCGAATTTCGCCCATTCGTACCATTCATTTCACCCTGCCTCCTGTCCCCACACACTTCAAAACGGCAATCAATCTAAGGCCATAACATTATGAATATTGACCAGAGGAGTAGAACGAAGACAGTCGAGGCGACATGTAGACAAAAACTGACCGTTTTTCTCTGCATTTCTATGCGAATTGGCGCCAAACACCGATTGTTAGGCACCTCGACTCAACCGGACTTGATCGACAGGCGCAATTCGTGAAATATGTGTACGAGATTCTATGATTTATTAATGACTAATATCCCCATCTTGTTGCTTTTATACTCATGTGATGCCGAGACTTACACCGTAAAACGTACCGTCCATTAAGCAGTCAATGCCGTTGTGGTCTTAGTCATGATATATCACGATCTCGGCGAGCTCTTTTCTATTTTGGAAAAGTTAGGAAGTTGTCGAAAGAATAATTTCAAATATACTTTCGATTGGAAAAAAAATTTTTGGATGATGTCTATATAATATCGCACAAAATCTTTTACTCCGAGAATAGAGTATTAAGCCTAGGTCCAAGTTACGTTGAAACACCGATTCTCGTACGATCACCGAAGTTAAGCAACGTCGACTCTGGTCAGTACCTAGATGGGTGACCGCTTGTGAATACCAGGTACTGTGACGTTGGATATGAGCGTGCTGTACTGGATAACGCTTCGAAATTGTAAATCGGGAGTCGGGTTTCAATTCCAGTTAGGGTTCGTTCGTTCGTTCGCGCAAATAAACTTGGGAAACTATGTACATTGCGCGGACTAACATCCTCGTCTTTGTTGCCATATTTATCACAACGTTGTACGCTCCGGCTTTCTTTAGGTGATTGGAATGTCGAACTGAACCCTACATTTCGCTCGCTGGGGTAGACTGTTTCACGCGCCATGTCTAATGGATATCAGTTATCACCTGTTAATTCCCCTCTCCAAGTTCTTCACCGCCTTCAACAAGTATTGAACTCACACTCTTTGGGTCCTGATTGGGTTCAACTAGAACAGTCTACCCCAGCGAGCAGAATAAAGGGTTCAGTTTGACATTCCAACCACCTGAAGAAGGCCGGAGCGAACAATGAACGAAACGTTGTGATAAATATGACAACAAATATAAGGATAGTAGTCCGAGCAATGTAAGTAGTATATATAATACCTCATCTTACAAATATAGATAGAAACTTTGGAAAGGTATGAATCCCTTAAGTAGTGTGTTTATTAGTAGTACCAATACTTATTTTATTATCCCCAAAATCTGTTACACCCAAAAAATATTGTCTGAAAAACCTGAAAAATGCTGACAATCCAAAGAAACGAAATCTATCAAAGAAAAGCTATAAGAGAATCAAGAGCCTCATGTTTTCAGTCCAGCTAACAGGTCTAATGGGACATTCTCTCCCCTCCGTTTATTCAATTCATTTTGATTGTATAATATTTCAAAATGTAAGAAATAATAAGAATTTATTCAATTCATTTAGAGATGACACAAATTATAATGAAAAAATACTGATTTTCTGAAATGACGGATTTTGACCTATATTACAATTCCTGATTATTTTGTAATGACCGAAAATAAGAATCATCATCCGACCGAAACCTATTGAAAATGAACAGATTCTTTGAAACCTAGTTGATAATTTCTGACCTAGACGATCTGATATGACCGACTTCGATCCTGATTCTGATAAAAGATCCTTTGATTGAAATGTGATCCATCCGACCGACGGATCCATCTTTAATTCCTAAGCCGACTGATTTTCTGATCTAGCTGACCGATATGATTTAGGCGACATTTGATCATCATTAATCCGACTGATTTTCATCCATCCGATTTATCTTTGGCCTATCCTCCTAATTTGACTGATTCTCCGATCTAGCCGACTGAACCTCTGACCTAAATGGACCGATACTCTTTTCTAGACGACTGATTCTCTGATTCACTTTTTTTATTTTTTCTGTTATTGACTGATTCTTCTGATCTGATTGACTGATCTTTTGACCTAGCCGACTGATTCTCTCATCCATCCGACCGATCCTCTGACTTAGCCAACTAATTCTTTTACCTAGCCGACTGATTCACTGACCTAGCTGACCGATCCTATGACCTAGTCGACTGATTCTCTGACATAGCCGACCGATCCTCTGTCCTAGCCGACTGATTCTCTCATCCATCCGACCTATCCTCTGGCCTATCCTCCAACCTAGCCGACTGATTCTCCGATCTAGCCGACTGAACCTCTGACCTAACCGACCGATACTCTGACCTAGACGACTGATTCTCTGATCTAGCCGACCGATCTTCTGACCTAGCTGACTGATTCTCTGATCTAGCTGACTGTTCTTCTGACCTAGCCGACTGATTCTCTCATCCATCCGACCGATCCTCTGACTTAGCCAACTAATTCTTTTACCTAGCCGACTGATTCACTGACCTAGCTGACCGATCCTATGACCTAGTCGACTGATTCTCTGACATAGCCGACTGATCCTCTGTCCTAGCCGACCGATTATCTGACCCAGCCGACCGATCCTCTGACCTAGCCGACTGATCATCTGACCCAGCCGACCGATCCTCTGAAAAGTGACTGATCATTTGACCCAACGACGACCGATCCTCTGACCTAAGCAATTTGATCATTGACCCAGCCGACCGATCCTAAAAGCCTAGCCGACTGATCATCTGATCTATATATTCGATCCTCTGACCTATCCGATGATCATATGATATATGCTGACCGATCCTCTGACCTAGCCGACTGATTCTCTTAGCTAGCTTAAGAGGGTCAATAGCGGGCCAACTGTTCAATGGAGGAACAGCTGGCCTTTAAAATGAATGGCCACAAAAGCCAAACTAGGAACGTTCATTTAACACTGAGAAACGGGTATCTCTCAAGTAGAACACCTATTCAGACTCAAATTCACTCGAGACATCAAATGGAACGCACATCGTTACAGACCTAGTAAGTTGCTCGGTTCTTTGGTACGGTCCATCAAGTAGCAGGCATCTCCTGATATGCTCTATCATTTCAAGAGCCAGATCAGACCGAAAATAAAATGCTGTTGTAATATTTAGAAATAACTTGGACCGATTTTAAATGTAAATAAAGTTTAAGCGCCTAATGATATTTTTTTCTCTTTTTCTTTCAGATTTAACAAATTAAGTCTTTAGCAATTTCAACCATGGAAAGATTTACAATCAAACAACGTGTTAAAGTTATCGAAGCCTATTACGAAAATGGGCGTTGAAACAGAAATGCAATGACTAGTTCCCAGGTCGCATCATCTCTCGAAAACGAAGCGAAGTCAATTGGCCACCAATCAATTCGGCACACAATGCGACTTGACGCCTTTAGATTTCTTCCTTTGGGGTCATCTCAAAAGTAAAGGTTTATGCCAACAAGCCAACAACAATTCAACAGCTGAAGGATGAGATAATAAGGCATATTGGTGAGATCGAAGAGCAACTATGCAGAGACGTCATCAAAAATTTTGACAATCGAGTGGAGATTTGGCGGACATTTCCGCGATATTATTTTTCACACATAATTGCCATGACTTAAATAACATGATCCAATAGAGAAATAAAATAAATTTTCAGTAATAACATAGATTTATTTACGGCTGACTTTGATCCGTCTTAATGAAACACCCTTATATATAATCCGTCTTAATGAAAAAACTTTATAGAATTACCAATACATTTTATCTAAAAGATTTCTTAGTTCTTTTTTTTGAAAAGTAACGTATATGCCAAAAAACCAACAACATTTCGACATATGAAGGATAATTGATAATAAGGCATATTGGTGAGATTTTTCTTTATTGCGACTATGCATTTAACGTCATCAAAAATTTTGACCGTCAAATTGAGGTGTATCATAAAAATAATGCCGGATATTAATTCGATATTATTACCATGACTTAAATAAATAGATCCAATAGAAATAATTTTTACATTTTCATCAATAACACTGATTTATTTTGGTTTTTTAAACTATGATCCGTCTTAAAGAAACCTCCTTATATCTAATCCATCACCATAAACACCCTTTATATTTATTTTTCTAAAGTTCTGAATATCAGTGGACAAAATGAACACCAAGCATCGACAGCTTTACACAAATCATCAGTCCTAGTATGAAACAGGTTTTAAGTTTTAACTTTAAATTCAATGAATTTCAAAAAATATTTTTATATATTTTGAATCTCTGATATTTAGCAATTTTTTCTATAAATATAGCATAACAAAATAAAAAAATCATATATATATAATATATATATATATATATATATATATATATATATAATAATATAAATTAATTGATTTAAAAAAAATTTTTTTTTTTCATAAACAGTTCTTTCATGTTAAAAAAAAATGGAATATTGAAAACAAATCAGATTTTAAAGAAAGACATTAATTCAAATCAAATTTTGGAGTAATTTTTAAAATTCTTTTGGGTTTTAAGAAATTTATAAAAAAATATAATGAAAAAATTATATATATTTCTTTCTTTTCCTTTTTTTTTTCTTAAATTTTTTTTTTTACTTTTTTTTCTTATTCCGAGTTCAAAAGATTTAAATTGTTTTAAATTTAACTCATTTTTGTGGGGTCTGCGAAAATTCTCCCTTTTCATTTATTCTTGCATTTTGTCAGCAATTGATTTACCGTTTTTTCATTTCTTCCCTAAGGTACTTTTTTTGAATGATTTAATCTTTCTTTCTTTAAAATCAAAATCTAGATATTCTGTCGTACTTTTTTTCTTTCAATCAGTTTGGGTAACTTTTATCTCTAATTTTTTCTCATTCATATCTCTCTATATATATATATATATATATATATATATATATAAAAATATATATATATATTATTTTGTGTATGTTTGTTAAAATTGATTATCTATGTAATTGGTAATTTTTTAATTTTGATGTCCTTTAATTTACACAAATTCAATTTTTTTTTTTAAATCTATCTTTAATATCTATCTATTTATAAATATCAATCTAAGAGTTTAAAACTCTCTTCGATTATGCAACTGTTGACATAAAATATATTATATATATATATATATATATATATATATATATATATATATATTATATATTGAATATATTATTTTTTATTTTTTTCGAAAAAAAAAAATTTTTCTCAATAAATGTCCAAAAAAATAAATTTGAATAACTTTTAATTATCTAAATATCTATCATAAAATAATTTTTTATCTATCTTAATATATATATTAAAAAGGTTTCAAAAAACAATAAAAAATTAATTATAAAAAAATAAAAGAATTTTGCTAGATAAAAATATAATATTTAAAAATCTATCTATCTATCTATCTACATATAATATATAAATGTAAGGAATATCTTTATATATAAATCATTCTGTAAAATTTATCTATCTATCTATAAAATATCTAAAGGAAATATTCACAAAAAAAATCCAATTTATCTATTTATCTATGTATTTCAAAATTATATTTATAAAATATCTATAAATCTATATATTAATTGAAATACAAAGAATTTATTATCTAATATCTAATCTAAATATCTTTATATATAGTCATTTCTTAAAATAAATCATTTTTTGTTATGGTGTTAAAAAATCTATATGAATCTATTTATAAAATATATAAATATATAAATATTTATAAAAAATATATCATTTGTTGAAAATTTGACGAATATAAATTCATATTTTTCAATTATGTTTGTATCTTCTTTCTATTTAACAAAATTTATGTTTATCTATTTATGGTTGTCTTTTAAAAATACTTATAAATTTAAATATATATAAAAAAATCTAAAATTATCTATAAAGGATATAAATTTATTTTCTAATTTATACCAATATCTATTTTGAAAAATTTATTATATATATATATATATATATATATATATATATATATATATTTTATATATTTATCTATAAAAATTATAGTTTCTAATATATCTATATCATGGCTTGTTTAAATTTAAAGAAAATATTATTATCATATAATTTTTCTATTATAAAATGTATTGTATTTAATTTCAAAAATCTATAAAATCTATTTTTGAATTTGAGTCTATTTCCCAATATTTTATCTTTTTATCTTTCTATCTAAATAAATTTACATTATCAAATATCTATCTATAAATACATCTATGTCAAATGTATTGATTTAAAATTTTCAAAATTTGTTTCTATTTTTTCTTAATTTCAATCTCATTCTGTTTATTAAAATTACAAAAAATCGAATTTTTTTTAAAAAATCGAATTTTTTTAAAATTTCTTTCATATATTTTTCCTAAAAAATTTATCAATAGTTTTGCAAAAAATTAATCCGAAAAAAATCTTATTTCTTAAAATCTAACTAAACTTTTTCAAAATTTTCAGCTTTTTTCTCCATTTTTTTTTTTTTTAACCTTTAAATCTCAATCTTTCTAATTTGAAAAAAATTTTTGTTGATAATTTTCATTGAATTCATATAAATTCTTAAAAAAAAAAAATCCATTTTGAAAATCATCTTTTTTTTTAAAATAAATTTTTTTAATAAACAAATTGAAAATATATCAATAATATTCTATAATATTTAAATTTTAAATTTAAATTTTTTTGAAAACAAAGTTATAAACCAAATTTTTACTCATATCTCAATTGATTTTTACCATCCTCTTTTTATATTAATTTATTACATATATTTATCTTCAAGAATATATTTGTCTAAAAGTACTGATATAATTAAATATATATATTAATTCTAAAAAAACCTAAAATGACATTGGTATACAAATTTTTTAAGATTAATTGTTATGCATTTTATGAGGTGAAAAAAATATTAATATATAAAGGTATACGAAATAACTTTTATTCCTATATATATATAGGGAATTATTAAATACATATATATTATATATAAAATATCAATTTAAAAAGAAAAACGACAATGAATTGAAGAAAGGATAGCTAAAAAAAAAAAAAACAATAAAAAACATAAAAAAGATTGATAGATACATTTCTGATAACTGAGATATTACAAATAATTTAAGATAGATGATAGACAGATAGATAGATAGATTTTTAGATAGAAAAGAAAAGATAGATTAGATAGAAATGGATAGATAGATAGATAGATAGATAGATGAATAGAAGATAGTTAGATAGGTCAAGCCCTTGAGATAAATAGCAAAAATAAGATGGCGAGAACACAGATTTAATAGTTAAATAGATATTGATAAAATTGAAACATTTTTAAATTTATATAATAGAAAAAATTTTTTTGATGTTATAGAAAAATTATGTTAAAGAATTTTATAGAAACCTTTAAATTAAATAGATAAATAGAAAGAAAAAAAAAAAAACAAAATTCTGAATAGATTGAATAGATATAAATTCCAAATGAAAATAGAAAAAATGTGTTTGAGATTAAACTTAGAAGAAAAGTTTCTCTCTAGATAGATAGATAGATAGAAAACTCTGTGTGTTTTTGAGATACAGATATAAAAGACGAATAGAAAAAAGATTTTTAATTTAAATTTATAAGATAGATAGATAAATTAATAGATAAAATACTAGACTGAATTTGATTGGTTCAGAAACAAATAAGATCAGGATATAAATCGGGGAAATGGATATAAATTAAATTTTTTTTTTTTAGAAACAATGTTTTTCTCCTTCAAGAATGAATTTGGATTCTTTTTATTTTCATTTGATGGAAAGATATTCTTTTCTCTTAGATAATATTATAAAAAACTATATCTTTTTATTTTCATTTTCTTTTATATAATTATTTTTTTTGGACCTCTTTCTTTCTTTCCTTTTTTCAATCCTTTTCTAATAATTTTTTTCTTATTCTGATTTTTTTTTAAAAAAAAAATTTTTTTTTCTAAAAAAAAAATTCTTATCATTTTATTTCTTTTTTTATTTTTTTTTTTTTTAATTTTTTTTTTTCAAAACAATAATTTCTTTATTTTTTTTCATTCTTGATTTTTTTCTTTCTTCATCTTTCTTTAAATTTTTTATCTTCAAAAATATATTTTCTTAATTTTTAAAAAAAATATTTATTCTTTCTTTATTCTTTTTAATAAATTCCATTTTTTTGAACAATTTAAATATAGACTCTTTTTTTTATTTTTCCTTTTTTAAGGTTTACAAATTAAATTTTCCTTTTTATCTTTCTTTTTCTTTATTTTTCTTTTGTGTTATTTTTTTTCAATTTCTTTTAAATCATATTTTTAAACTTTCTTTCTATTTTCCCTGTTTTTTTCTTTTTTTTCTTTTTTCTTTTTCCTTTCTTTCTTTCATTTTTAAAATTTCTTTCTTAGGATTTTTTCTTTCTTTCTTTCTTTATTTTTATTTTTTTCATTTTTCTTTCTTCTTTCTTTTCATCTTTATTTCTTTCTTTTCTTTTTCTTTCTTTTTTTACTTATTTCTTTCTTTCTTTCATTTTATTTTAGAACTTATTTCTTTCTTTTCTTTTTCTTTCTTTCTTTCTTGAAGAGTTTCTTTCTTTTTTTCATTTTTCTTTTTTCATTTCTTTCTTTTTTTTTTTTCTTTCTTTTTTCTTTTCTTTCTTTTTTCTTTGATTTTTCTTATTTTCTTTCTTTCTTTCTTTCTTTTTCTTTCTTTCTTTCTTTCTTTTTTTTTCTTTATTTTTTTCTTTCTTTTTTTTTTTCTTTCTTTCTTTCTTTCTTTCTTTATTTCTTTCTTTCATTCTTTCTTTCTTTACTTATTTCTTTCTTTCTTTCATTCTTTCTTTCTTTACTTATTTCTTTCTTTCTTTCTTTCTTTCTTTCTTTCTTTATTTCTTTCTTTCTTTCTTTACTTATTTCTTTCTTTCATTCTTTCTTTCTTTCTTTACTTATTTCTTTCTTTCTTTCATTCTTTCTTTCGTTTTTTTTTTGAAACTTTTAAGTAGGATTAATTCTTTGTCTTTTCTTTTTGATCAAATAGTTACTTAGTTTATGATTTATTGAATAGTTTATGATTTTGACGGAAACTTTAAAAAACCTTAAATTTCTTTTTCTTCTTTCTTTCTTTCTTTCTATTTATTTTTTCTTTCTTTCTTTCTTTCTATATTTCTTTCATATGTTCTTTCTTTCTTTGCAAATATCCTCCTGTCGATTTTTTTCGTAATAATAATTTTAAACTAATTCTGCAGAAGAAAGAAAGAATGAAAGAAAGAAAGAAAGAAAGAAAGAAAGCATAATGCTTAAAAAGAAATTAGCAAAGTAGAAAGATGGCCAAAAAAATAAAAAAGAAAGGAATGAGATTAACATTTTAGAAAGAAAGGATCAAAGAAAGTATATGGTTCAGAAAGAAAGAAAGAAAGAAAGAAAGAAAGAAAGAAAGAAAGAAAGAAAAAAAAGAAGCTGTCATAGATAGATAGATAGATAGATAGATAGATAGATAGATAGATAGATAGGAAGGAACCTCTTCATTGGATCTTTATAAGTATAATATAGAATAACTTTTATTTATGATACAATTCTTTTTAAAATTCTAATAATTTTTACGTTAGATTTCAACTCTCTAAATTAATTGTACGCTGTTTTTTTTAAAGACATTAAATTTTGCCTTTCATTTTTGCGCAAAGTGTAAAAAATCAGATATTTAGATTTTTCACCTTCAAGGTTAAAATTTTTTCCAGCCAATTGGGACTCAAATCCGGCACTGAAGAATTATTATTATCAAAAAAAAATTCATCGAAATCGAATGAAAACTGTCGAAACGCATAAACATCCGATCGCACACACACATACATACATACACATTTTGAGAATTATAGATATAAGATATATAATTATTAATTAATACCTAGGCTTGATCAGTTTAAAACCGAAAAATACTATACATAAGGCATCATTAACATTCTTATTTATATTTAGTACAGTCGAAAGTGCAAACTCCCAGAGGAAAATAAAAGTAACCGATGCATCAAAAGTTGTCTTGAATTACAAATTCATAATTCTCCTTCTTGAACATGACCAATGATGGCTGATAGTGTTGCATATATATATATGAAATATCTTCACATATGAGCGAACTAAACATGCATAATCGTTTACGAAATTAAGAATATATTACTGAAATTCTCTTTTTATTTGTTCCGGGTCATTTCAGGAGGTGGACTTACATCTCTGTCCACGAATTTTCCATCTATTGTTGGTTGAAATAGCGTTTGACAATTTCCCGCCCTGTTTATCACCATTAATCCAAACGCACCAGGTAAGATATTCGATGTTTCTATCTGCACCTAGGCTCTGTCCTGAGTCCTACGCTGTTTCTATCTGCACCTAGGCTCTGTCCTGGGTCCTACGCTGTTTCTATCTGCACCTAGGCTCTGTCCTGGGTCCTACGCTGTTTCTATCTGCACCTAGGCTCTGTCCTGGGTCCTACGCTGTTTATATTCTGCACCAGCCTCTAAATAAGGTCCTACGCTGTTTCTATCTTTTTAGGATTTGTCCTGGGTCCTACGCTGTTTCTATCTGCACCTCGGCTCTGTCCTGGGTCCTACACTCTTTCTGATCTTCATCAATGATATCCCTGAGGTCATCAGTTCCCAAGTAGGCAATTATGCTGGTGACACTGCCATTTATTCCTGTCTCAATTGCAAGGTTAACCTGACCGCTTCTCTTGAAAAGGATCTCCATTCTGTGATTACCTGTGGCAGTAAATTCGATATGTCTTGTGAATATATAATTTTCTAAGTGCTTTTTTCATTATTACACTTTTGAGGGTGAATTTAAGTATGTTCAACATCCACAACGCACTGAAGACTATAAGAGAACTAGAAATTGTAAGGGAACTGAAGACTCTACAGCGAACTGAAGACTCCAACAGAACTGAAGACTCCAAGAGAATTGAAGACTCTACGGAAATGAAGACTCTATAGTGAACTGAAGAAGTTAAAGGAACTGAGGATTCTACAGCGAACCGAAGATTTGATTCTAAAAGAACTGAAAAGTCTAAGCGAACTGAAGATTGGACAGGGAACTGGTGGTTCTACAGCAAACTGAAGATACTGAGAGAACTGAAAACTCTAACGGAACTGAAGACTCTACAGCGAATCGAAGACTCTAAGAGAACTGAAGAATCTAAGCGAAATGAAGAGTAAACAGGGAACTGACGATACTAGAGCAAACTGAAAACTCTAAGGGAACTGAAGACTCTAAGGGAACTGAAGACTCTACAGTGAGCTAAAGACTTTAAGGGAATTTAAGATTCTAAGCTAATTGAAAGCTCTACTGCGAACTGAAGACTTTAATGGAACTGAAGATTATAAAGTGAACTGAAAATTCAAATGGAACAGAAGATTCTAATGGAGCCTAGAATACTAAGGGAACTGAAGACTCCTTGGAAGCTGAAGACTTTACAGCGAACTGTAGAATCTACACCTTAGTTAAGACTATAAGGTAACAAGACTCTAAAGCGAACAGATGACTCTAAGGGAACTGAAGACTGACGGAAATGAACAATCTACATCGAACTAAACATTCTATGGGAACTGTAGACTCTTAGGGAAATGAAGGCTTCAAGGAATCTAATGATTTTACATCGAACTGAAAACTCTAAGCGAAATAAAGACTCTACAGCGAACAGAAAACTGTAAGGAAACTGAAGTCGCTACAGCAAACCGAAGACTCAAAGGGAACTGAAAACTCCTAAGGAACTGAATACTTTACATCAAATTGAAGATTCTAAGGAAACCGACGACTCTACAGCGAACTGAAGACTGTAAGGGTACTGAAAACACTGCGGCGAACCGAAGACTTCGAAAGGAACTGAAGACACCTAAGGAACCGAAGACACTACAGAGACCCGAAGACTGTAAAGGAACAGACTGTTCTACAGCGAACCGATGACTCTTAAGGAACTGAAGACTCTATAGGGAACTGACGGTTCTACAGCGAACCGATGACTCTTAAGGAACTGAAGCCTCTACAGCGAACTGAAGACTGTAAGGGTACTGAAGACACTGCGGCGAACCGAAGACTCTGAAAGGAACTGAAGACACCTAAGGAACTGAAGACACTACAGAGACTGAAGAAGATCAGAAGGAACAGACGGTTCTACAGCGAACCGATGACTCTTAAGGAACTGAAGACTCTACAGGGAACTGACGGTTCTACAGCGAACCGATGACTTCCAAGGAACTGAAGACTCTACAGGGAACTGACGGTTCTACAGCGAACTGAAGATACTGAAAGAACTAAGGGTTCTAAAAGAAGAAGTGAATTTAAGCGAAATGAAGTGCAAACAGAGAACTGAAGACACGTCAGCGAACTGAAGACTCTAAGAAAACTGAAAACTTATTCAATCATTAACTTAAGAAATTCATCAGAATATTAAAAATAGGAAAACAGTTTTTTTCACGGATCAAAATTAGTTTGCTTAACTTCTGGAAGGCAACTTTCGTTAATCCTATGCGCTTTTCGATTCGAGTACTTTTATCCATTAATACAGAATACCTTGAAACTATTTTTTTATCATATATATATATATATATATATATATATATATATATATATATATATATATATATATATATATAAATAAAATAAAAATAAAATATATAAAAGATATAATATATATAAATGGTGGTACTCTGTTAAAAAAAACCTCGGATAGATTAACTTGAAGTAGAACAAATTAGTACCCGAGAAAAAATGAGAAATAAAAAAAAGAAAGAACCAAGAACATTAAACCAAGGCGAAAACAATCGTCCAGTTTTTAAGCTCCAAGTCCAAAGAAAAAAAAACCAACCGAGTGAAAAGACAACTACGTAAAGTGCTCAATACACTAAGCAGAACGTTAAACTAGAATAATCCTAAGAAGCCAGGCATTACCTAGGTTTCACCTAAAACAATCTTCAGGGTAAAGCTGGCCCCTTAAGATTACTTTAGGTTATAAACATATATATATATATATATATATTAAAAATATTAAAGTATGATAGAAATGAAATATAAAAATAAACCCTCTCTAAACTCGACCATGTCTCTCACACTACTCCTCTCTACCTTATCCGTTAAATTATACAAACATAATACTTCCTGTCAAAAGTGTAATTTTTTTATTTCATTTTTCCTTTCACCAACCTGTCTACTCTCATCCTTTTCTATATATCTCTCTTCATATCTCTCTTTTTCGCCCATTTTCTCTTTCTTTCATTTTCCCTTCCTCCATTTTGAATCTATATTTTAAAACATAAATTATGTTTAAATATTTCGTTTTGTGCCTGGTAAAATTTGAAACCCATTTATTGTTGAAACTGTCATTGGTCTAATGAGTCGAAAATTAATAACTAATATATATATATATATATATATATATATATAATTATAAATAATTATATCTGCTCTTTTTGTATTGAGCACACTTTTTAAGAATAGTAATTGTTGGTTATTGGAATTCATTCCGTATATACCAATTATATACTTGGGTATATATATATATATATATATATATATATATATATATATATATATATATATATATATATATACTGTTCAAATTTCGAATATATATTGAAAAAAAAGTGTGAAATATTTTTGATTTACGGCTTGTCAACATTTGCAGGTTATTTAAAGTCAGAAAATATTTTTAGACGATAATAATATTTTTGTGGTGGGGGGTATAATAATGATTTACTGATAAGTCCAACTAGTTAACCCATAGATGGGGGTGAAGATGTGGATTCATTCCTTTCCCAAATATATGTGCGCGTAATTGAATATACCGAACATGATTGAAGCTAAAGATCTGATGTCCAATTCCACGCCGATATCCATTATAGCTGGCATTCCCAAGGGGGCAACCATCTAGGTACTGACCTAGTTGGACGTGGTTTAAGTTCGGTGATCCTATCGGAACTCTGCTCTCCGATTAACAATTCCGAGCCGTTATCCATTACACCACTCGCACATCCAAGCTTACAGCACCTGGTATTCCCAAGCGGTAACCCATCTAAATACTGACCTGGGTGGATGTTGCTTAACATCATTGATCGTATCGGAACGCGGCTCTCCGATTAACAATTCCCAGCCGTTATCCATTACACCACCGGCACATGCAAGCTTACAGCACCTGGTATTCTCAAAAGATCACCCATCTAGGTACTGACCTAGGTGGATGTTGCTTAACTTCGGTGATCATATCGGAACTCGGCTCTCAGATTAACAATTCCGAGCCGTTATCCATTACACCATCCTCACATCCAAAATTACAGCGACTGGTGTTCCCAAGCAGTCACCCTTTTAGGTACTGACATGAGTGGATGTTGTTTAACGTCGGTGATCCTATCGGAACTCGGCTCTCCGATTGACACTTCTGTGCCATTCTCCATTACACCACCAGCTCATCCAGGCTTACAGTACCTGGTATTCCGAAGCGGTCCCCCATCTGGGTATTGATCAGGCTCGACCTTGTTTAACTTCGGTGATCGTACGAGATTCGGTGTTTCAAAATGATATGGCCGTCAGAAACGAAATGTGTACATCGCCGTCAGTACTGTTTACCGACCGTCAATTCTATGTCTCACGTGATCTCCAGACCAGATCTTTTGAGCTTAGGCGCTGATATATTAAATATACTCAATTATTAATAAAGACACCGGCTTGATCTTCACAAAACTGTAAACGGCTTGACATATGTTGTAAGCGGCTTTGAAATGACGTCAACAATAAAACAGATATACGATTCATATTTAAGACGGCTTTGAAGATTGCTTGAAATTAAACGTGGTCGGAATATCATTTGAAGCCCGAAATTGGCAGTCATCATGACGTACGGAAGATCTATCGGTGGAAGATATTATTTACAAATCTATTTAACAAAGTTTTAATGGGCAGGTGAGTAATTACAGTAATCAAAGCTTCTTAACAAGATCTATTAATTAGTCCAATATAATCACTCCACTATATATCAGTAGAGAACGTGTAAACAAGAAGACTCAAAAAATGACTCTCCTGGAGGTTAGCATCAGCCATAGTGAAGGAGAGTAAAATGGTTCTCTATGAGGATTAAAGGGTAGCAGTTACGTTTTGGGGACGTTAAAATACACAACTCAGTTATTTCTTTAAAACCTTTCCGTTAATTTTTTTCTTGGTGATATCCACTTCCAACGTCAACCAGCTTTTGTAGATATCGTTTTCCAGGCATTGTACACAATAGGAAATGTTTAAATTGTCGCTATTTTATATATTTTTTAATTTTGCGCATGCGCGTTGCTTGTTTTTGATTTTGTGAAATGCACAGTATAATGGGGTCAGTTGGGCACCGTCAGCGAGAAAAAGAGCACCATGACGTAAAATCACTCCCCTAGAAATTTGGAAACGTCATACTGTACTGTTTGGCATTCGCACCGGAAACAAGAATACCAACATGTCATTGTGTTTGGGTGTCGTTCTTAGGATAGTACAGAGGATTCGGAAAAGTTGGATGATATATCCAGTCAACATCATGGTGTTTCGAGCGATCACTAGCGATGGCGAGGCTATGTCATCATTCATGTTCCCAGAGGGCCTCAGACTGAACACTGAGGCCTACATCAAAATGCTTTGAGGAGGCAACGATGGCCTGGATCAAGTGGGTGACTGCTGGAAGGCCCCATGTCTGGCAACAGATCTCATCTGGTCACGTAATTCCCCAGACTGCAACCACCTTGTGTGGGGCGCAGTTATGCAAGAGACTGACAAACACCTTGAAACACCCAAAATGTGGCAGCGCTCTCCCAAGTCAAGAGGGTGGCCGCTGGAAGACCCTGTGTCTGGCATCAGGACTCTGAACCATGACATACAAAAAGGAGAGCCCAATCATAGCCGCTAGACACTTTCTGCGACCACATCACCCCTTCCATCTGGTCACCTAACTCAATCCCCTTGATTATTATGTGTGTGAGGGTTGCAGTTGATCGAGAGACCTACACAACTCCTTGTAACACCAAAGATGAACTGAACGCAAGGATTATGGCAACATTCACCAACTTATACAAAGAGACCGTCCAGAAGAGTTGCAGGAGATTCCGAAGTTATCTGAGGGCCGTGGTTTAAACCAATGCCCATTTTGTTGAATAAAGTTACTCTTTGGTATTTCCAGATATTTTTTTTGTGTAATTTTGATAAATATATCTGTTAAAATTTGATATCAGTGTTAATTTCATGCGTAATTTAGACGACAATTTATCCATCGCACCTTACATATATCTTACCATATATCAGTGTGGTGTAATGGTTAGCAAGCTTGTCTCGCTAGATCAGTTATGACTGAAAAGTGAGTTCAATCCTCACTAGGTGTCCGATATTCGGCCTTGTGTCACATCTAAGCTACACTTAGAAAACAACTATATATTTAGCACTGTAGATCGGAGTTCGTTATCAAATGTACCATTTTCACTTAACATTACTTTAATGACACTAATAGAAACGAATCAATAAATGAAATTAATGTAGAAAGGTATAGAATTATAATTAGATATATGTTAATATATTCTATTATCGTTGTTTCTAAAAAGAAATATATATGGCCCTCCCTTGTCAAAATAGAGGGCTTGCGTGTTACAGTGATCCCCAAAGCGTCTGAAGCTACAAGTCCAGGAGAAGGGTCCCTACTGAACGCGACCAACCCCTCGAAGACCCCAACGGCGAAATAAGTAAAGACCTAGGCGATCTCAAAGTCCAAACCTATGGAAGAGGACAGAGCTAGTCGGGCTAGCTTAAACAAGGCGAACATTGACAGACCAAGCATCCGATTGCCCGATGCAACCAGGTTTCCCATATCTCAATCCCACTTTGAGCCGTGAGGGAGGCGCTTCTGACCAAGTGTGCGGGCTTATCCGTCGCGCAGAATTGTCTACCAAAATCTAATTCAAACGAATGGCTTCGTCAAACTTTCTTTGACTTCTCCTCAGGAGTAGACTAGGCCTTCGCACCAATCTCCGACATCAGAGCGAAGAAAAGGGAATAAAGATAGAGGATGAAAATCCCAGTTCTCGGATGCGATACATTACATAGACCCCCAACGACGGAATAAACAAAGATCTACACGATCTCAAAGACTAAACCAGCGGAAGAGGGCGGCTCCAGTCAGGCTGGCATAACCAAGGAGGACCACGACAGACCAAACATCCGATAACCCAATTCAACCAACTCTCGCCAGATCTCACCTGTCTCAAACCCCGCTTTGAGCCGAGAGTGGGGTGCTTCTGGTGAAGTGTGTGGGCTTATCCGTCGCGCAGAGTTGTCCACCAAAATGTAATTTAAGTGAATGGCTTCGTCAACCTTTCTACTCAGGAGGTAGGACCAGGCTGAACGTGACCAACCTCCGAAGACCCCAACGGGGGAATAGGCAAAGATCTACACGATCTTAACGACAAAACCGGCAGAAGAGGGTAGCGCCAGTCACGATGGCGTAACCAAGGCGGACCATGACAGACCAAACATCCGATAACCCAATTCAACCAACTCTCAGCAGATCTCACCTGTCTCAAACCCCTCTTTGAGCCGAGAGAGAGGCGCTTCTGACCGAGATTATGGGCACCTCCGTCGCGCAGATTTGTCCACCAAAATCAAAACCACGCGAATGGTCACGTCAAGCTATATTTGGTTCACAGCCATCTCCGCCTGGAGTGTGCAAATTCCTTTCTCTCAAGTGGTATACACATTCTGATACCTGTCACAGGGATCTGTCCCTGCGCTGGTAGTATCACAGCTATGACTAGCTTAGACCAGCTCTTACCAACTTGGAACAGCTATGAACGGCTACTAATGGGTTATACCAGCTCTAACCAGCTTGGACAAGCTATGAGCAGCAATGACGAGCAGCCCGAGTGAAGACACTCGGGTACCCATGTTAAAAACCGACCTTGTGTCACAACCTGACACAGTGGAGGGTGTCAAGTAAATACCGTGTGTAAATACCGTGTGTAAATTCCTCCTTTGAGGGGTATACACATTCGGACAAGCTATGGCCAGCTACGAATAGCTTAGACCAGCTCTGACCAGCTTGAACCAGCAGCCCGAGTGAAAACAGTCGGGTCCCCACGTTAAAAACCGAACTTGTGTCACAACTTGACTCAGTGAGGGGGGGGGAGTATATCAACACAGCTATCTCCGCCGTCGCCACCAGTGGCGGGGGTGAATAGGGAATAAAGAGAGAAGATGACAATCCCGTTGCTTGGATGCCGATGACGGAAAAAAAAGTATGTCTTACGATAATTTTGCCTTTAAGTTATAATCCGCTTCTACGAATTTCTTGACACGCCCGCCGAAGATGTCGGAATAAATATCTCATCGACACGTCGATAACATCATCATGGTGGTTATTCGGGTTCAAAAAAGAAGTTTGGTCGCGCAGAGTCCGGGGCAGTGAGGAGACTGGAAGTCGGTGTTTTTGACCAACGCCTAAATGGGCTTTGTGCACTTGGAATATTTTTTCTTTTCTTTTTTTTTTCATCTTTTTGGACGCTGGGGTTCGCCGAAGTGTTCTAGTGGACAGAAAGGCAATCGGTCGACTGCACACTACTATAGCCTAGCCACATTGGCTGATCTTGCACAATTTGTTGTTAGTTTTGATTGCGTCTTTCTACCGTTCGTTTCGATGGTTTTGACGTCTTCTGTAACATAAGTTTTCTGTGCAATGTTGTTCCATGAAGATAACGTGGTCATTTCATCGAACTTGTCATTTGATGAGGATTGAATCGATGCTGGTTGAATTCACACAGTTCTAAATTTCAAGGTTGGAAATGTGACCATGTAACGTCATTCTAAGTATGGAACGAAGATCCTATATGTGATATGTGATCTATCTATCTATCTATCTATCTATCTATCTATCTATCTATCTATCTATCTCAATCTGTTCACATCTATCGATCTATCTCTCTAAATAATTTTACATCTATCACTCAATCTATACTTAGCTATCGATCTATTTAAATCTGATCTATCTATCTATCTATCTATCTATTCAATCTGTTCACTATCTATCTATCTATCTATCTATCTATCTCAATCTGTTCACTATCTATCTATCTATCTATCTATCTCAATCTGTTCACTATCTATCTATCTATCTATCTATCTATCGATCTATCTATCTATCTCAATCTGTTCACATCTATCGATCTATCTCTCTAAATAATTTTACATCTATCTATATCAATCTATCTATCTATCGATCTATTTAAATCTGATCTATCTATCTATCTATCTATCTCAATCTGTTCACTATCTATCTATCTATCTATATTTATCTATCTATCTATCAATCTGTTCTTTTCTATCTATCTATCTATCTATCTATCTATTGATCTATCTATCTATCTCAATCTGTTAATATATCCATCTATCTATCTATCTATCTAAATAATTTTACATCTATCATCAATCTATCTTAGCTATCGATCTATTTAAATTTGATCTATCTATCTATCTATCTATCTATCTCATCTATCATCTATCTATCTATCATCATATCTATCTA